CTTCGTACCCTCTACAAGAAATGTCACTCTACTCTCAGCTTCTGGAAAAGAAAATGCAGACATACTTAAGAAAAACCAATTTCACCCATCACCTTGTGCTAACCATGCATATTGAGACTATTTTATGACTATTTAGTTGGCTCATTTGGGTAGGTAGAATGATACTTTTAATTTCATGCTAATAATTCTGAGATTTTTCATCTAGTAAGGGGTCCATTATTTCTTTTTTTTATGTTTTATTTTACATTTTGGTTTTTTATGACAGGGTCTTGGAACTTGCTCTGTAGCCCAGGCTGGCCTCTAATTCAGAGATCCTCCTGCCTCTGCCTCCCAAGTACTGGGATTAAAGGCGTGCGACACCACCGCCGCCACCTGACTGTTTCTAAATTGTCACTAAAGCACATTCAGAGAGGGGATGAAATAATGCCAAACTAAGATTTCAACACATGAACAAAAGGCCCAGCCTGATTAGTCATCAGGGGCTAAGAAGTATCACAAAGGAGGGCCCATGCTGCACACCCACTAGAGTGACTGACATTGGAAAAGTGGCCACACAGTTGGGGACAGAAAGGTGGGGAGGGACCTCCCAGTGCTGATGGGCATGCAGAATGGAGTCACCCTTTAGGACAGTCTGGCTTTCTTGCTTGCTTGCTTCCTTCCTTCCTTTAACTTATATTTAGTGTGTGTGTGTGTGTGTGTGTGTGTGTGTGTGTGTGTGTGTGTGTGTGTGCTTGTGGGACAACTGCAGGGGTCAGTTCTCTCCTTCTACCTTTGGGCCATCGAGGGCCGAAATCAGGTCCTCGGGCTCAGTGGGAGGCACTGTACTTGCTGCTGAGCCATCTTTCCAGCCTTACAGCAGTTCGATACTTAAGGATCCCAAACTAGCACATCAAAATATCCTTCAAGGGGTGGATGAATTAATAACGTATGGCATATCCGGCAGAAGGCTGAGTAACGGCCCCAGACAGCAACCGTGTGCTAATACCTGGGACCTGGGAGTGTTAACTTATTGCAAAAGGCAAACAAAAATAGACTGCCAACATGATTGAGAGTCTTGAGGTAGGAGACACGCACAGGCGTCTTTATAAAGAAAGGCAAAGGGACTCTGGAGAGAAGAGGCACTGGCTACAGAGGCAGACACTGGAGTGATGTGGCCATAGCCACGGAATGCTAGCAGCCCCCGGTAGCTAAAGAAGTGGGAAATGGGTTCATCTCTAGAGCCTCCAGAGGCCCTGTTTGGGGTCCATTAATACTGATTTTAAATTTGCAGCCTTGAGAACTTTGAGAGGATAATTTTCGGTTGCTTTAAGCCACTAAATTTGTAGTAATTTGTTATAGAAATCGTATAAAATTAGTATCCCACACAGTAGAATAGTACTTGGTGATCAAAAGGAATGAATTATCAATATACATAACAATTTGGATGAATCTCAGATGCATCCTGTTTAGTGGAAGAAACCGAACTGGAAAGGGCATGTTATACAATTTCATTTACATGGCATTCTAAAGGAGGCAGAGGATGCCGGAAGTGGGCACGGTCACCAATGACAGACCCATGAATATTTTCAGAGGAGTGGTGAGATAAACCATTCTGGTCCTCGATGATAGTGATGGTATATACACTTCATCTGCCCAGGTCAACAAACCAGACATCAAAGAGGGTACTCTTTTACCATGTGTGCATTTAAAAATAAAATTTTAAAAGTATCTGAGTATTCATCATGATGGACATGTTAAACTTCAAAAAAGGTATGAAGCAAGTCCTGCTCTAAAAAGCAATGATTTTTTTTTAAAGCACAGATGTCAGTCAGAGAATGTCTGTTTCCTTCAGAGGAGAAGTTAACTCTTTGGTGGTTGACAACATATGCGAAGCAAGGGTGGCACCCTTGCTTGTCTGTATTTGTTAGTTTCACAGGACTGTAACAAAATACCTGACAGAAATAACTCAAGGAGAGGAAAGGTTTATTTTGTCTTATAGTGTCAGGGGATTTCATCCATCATGGCAGGAAGGCTGTGGCAGAGGAAAGCATTTCACCTCATTGCAGCCAAGAAGCAGAGAAGAGAGCATAAGGAAGGAACCAGGGCCCTATGGAGTCCCCAAGGACACACTCCCACTGACCTACTTCCATCAACTTAGCCCTGGAACCTACCTCTCTCACCACCTTCCAAAAAATGCCATCGTATGAAGAGTCTATCAAGAGATGGATTCTTACAGCAGGGCCTCGTGATTCAACCATCCCTGGAAACAGCCTCACAGGGACACCCAGAAGTGAACTTTACTAACCACATATGCACCATTTAATCCACTCAAGCTGACAACCAAGGTTGCCCTTCAACATAGCGTTACAGGAGACCCGAGCAAGAACACAAATGCCTTACATTAGAGAGAAACGGAACTGTTAGAAAAGAGAGCCTGAAACACTCAGATAGAGAAGCTTGCCTTTGTAGGGGGTGTTAAAGGGAACACATTTCTTCAGAAACTACACTTAAGGTGAGTTTTAAGCAATCACAGATTTAGAATATATATATATATATATTTAAATTTATATATATATTTAAATTTTAATTGTGTGTCTTGTGTGGGTATGTACACCTAACTTTAGGTGCAAGAGGAGACCAGATGTGATGAATCACCTGGAACTGGAGTTGCAAAGGCTGTGAACTGTTATGTCCATGTCAGGAGTTCCCCAGAGATCACCAGGAGTCTGAGTTCATGTGCAAGAGCAAAGGGCCTTTATTGCAAGCTCAAGCTTGGACTTCCCATCCATTCTGACACAGTGGTTGGATTAGGGAGAGTACTGAACTCAGTTATGGTAGGGTTTTTAAGGAGTAAAGGGTGGGGTGGTAGGGGAATTCCAGATTCAGAAGGGGGTTGAGCTCCTGATTGGGCACGAGTGAGATAACAGAAGTCTTGTCAAACAGGGATTGGTACTGGTGTTGCTGCAAGGAAATTGGCAACCTATATGCAAGTGATGCAAGCTATCCTTTATGTCTCGGAGAATCTAGTACTTGTTTGTCTCAATTCTGGTTGGCCCCCGAGGGTACAGTATTGTTAGTTTGCAACCTGTTATGGCTGCACTAATATTAAGCTAGGCCTCTTCAGAAACATCTGATGTGGATGCTGGGACCAGAACTGGGATTCTCTGCATGACCAGTAAGTGCTCTTAACTACTGGGTCTTCTCTCCAGGCCCCTCAATAGTTCTTTTGTCGCTTCACCAGGTTTGAAGTCAAATTAATAGGGGTAATGTTGCTGTAAGGGGCTGTTAATGAGAGCAGTCTCCATCATAGAAGATGGTTACTAACAACGACCCTCTGAGAAGGATGAAAACATTTGTAAATACCATAATTATAACTTATCAGGCACAGAGGAGAGAGAGACTTTGTGCTTTGTAGATGCATTAAGGTCAGGGACCTTGCATTAAGGAGATGATCTTGGGCTATGCAAGTGAACCCGCTCTACTCACTTGAGCCTTCTAAGTGGAGAACTGTCTTGGGCTGGAGAGTCAAGAGATCAGAAGCATGAGAAACACTGGCTGGCTTTGGAGATGGAGGTAGAGCTTGGTGAAGCAAATCCTATAGACAAGCTCTAGACAAATAAATCAATCTTGATGGACAGTCATCAGGGAGACAGAGACCTCACCTGGAGCCTGCATGGAGCTGAATTCTGCCAACATCCTGAATGATCTGGAAGTGGGTTCCTTCCTCTAGCCTCTAGAAAGGAATAGAGCCCTCGCAACTTGAGTTTGGCCTTACCAGACTGTAAATGATGGACTCAGATGAGCCACACTGCACTTGGACTCCTGTCCTACACACTGTGTGTTATTCATTGTTTCCTATTCTTTGCTCTTTTGGGGAGACCTACATCCTGTAGGCTGAGTTTTCCTGTCCTGACAGCCATTTCCAAAGAAACTGACACAGAGGCTTAATAATAATTATAAATGATCAGCCAATAGCTCAGGCTTGTTTCCAGCTAACTCTTACATTTTCAATGAACCCATGTTTTTATATTTGCTACATGGCTTGGTACCTTTCTCAGTACAGCATGTCCATCTTGTCTCTCTCTGTGTCTGTTCACTACTCCAGACTCCAGCCCTCTTCCTCCCAGCATTCTCAGTTTGGCTCTACTGCCTAACCTTATCCTGTTCAGCTATTGGCCAGTCAGCTTCTTTATTAAACCAATTACAGCAACAAATCTTCACAGTGTGCAAAAGGATTATTCCATAGTATCACCCAGCTCCCAAATAAACACATGGAAGCTTATTCTTTCCTATAAATGCCTGGCCTTAATTTGGCTTATTTCTAGCCAGCTTTTCTTAAATTATCCTGTCTACCTTTTGCCTCTGGGATTTTATCTTTCTCTATTATGTATATCTTTCTTTACTTCTCATTCCGTGGTTGACTGTGTAGCTGAGTGGCTGGCCCTTGATGCCTTTTCTCCTTCTTTTCTGTGACCTTGGAGGCTATGCAAATATAGGTTCTTACTGTCCTTCCAACCTGAGGTTGCCATTGAGCTCCAGTGTTTCCAATGCCCAGATGCCATGCATTTCCTGAAGCCTCTTCTCTGTCTCCATCAGTTCACTGCATGAAGTTCCCACTGCTTTAAAAAATCTGAGTGGAGCTTCAAGATGATAGAGGCATACACCTTCAATCTCAGCACCCAGGAGGCATAGGCAGGTGGATCTCTGTGAGTTCAAGTCCAGCCTGATCTACAAAGTAGGTTCCAGGAAAGCTAGGACTGTTACACAGAGAAACCCTATCTTGAAAAAAATCCTAAAACCAAACCAAAACAAAAATCTGAGCAGGTTCAGTTTCCTGATGCCACCTTGTGTGATAAATATAGTATAATATATATCTTGAAGTTTTGTGGTGGAGATTGGAAAGGGTATACATATATCTATTCATTGAACAAACATTATGTGAAAGTCCAGGTCAGTCTTGGACAGGTAAGACAAACCTTGATGAAGGTCACATTGCAATCATGCAGACAGGAGTCTAATAACTGATTGAGTAAAGCATTTATTTACTGAAGAGGCCTAACTTAACATTAGTGAAGCCATGACAGGCTACAGGCTAACAATACTGGGACTAGGCCTCAACATTACAATAACCAGGAAAAGCCACAAACTGTGCCCTGCGGGGAACCAATCAGAATTGAGACAAACAAGTACTAAATGCTCTAGAACATAAAGGACAGCTCACATAATCTGATATAGGTTGCTAATTTTCTTGCAGCAGTGCCAGTACCCATCCCTGTTTCACAAGACTTCTGTTATCTCACTCTTGCTCAGTCAGGAGTTCAACCCCCATCTGAATCTGAAATTCCCCTACTCCCCCATCCTTACTACTTAAAGACCCTGCCATAACTGAGCTCAATGCTCTCCCTGATCCAACCACTGTGTTGGAACAGAGAGCCCAAGCTCAGCTTGCAATAAAGGCTCTTTGCTTTGCATACAGACTCAGACTCTTGGTGATCTCTGGGGTTCTCATGATGTGGGCATAACATTTGGGGGCTTGTCTGGGATTCCCTCAGATCCAGCAGGACTCCGACCCATGGAGCCTTTGACAAGCTGGTGAGTGTCTTTCTGTTTGTCTTACTTGGTTTCACTTTGTTTCTGTCTTGTATTGTACTTTGACTGGGCACATTTCCAAGTTGCCTGCAAAAGGTCTGGGCGGACAGGTGTGAAAGACTGCAGGTCTGAGAACTGGGAGATATTCAGGGACTCTTCTGTTTGACATTGGTTCTTGGATCTTTCTAGTTTCTTTGAATAGGAAAGGCGGAGTCACGGCCCACCAATCATTGACAAGCTATTATCTCGGTTTCAGTTTTCCTCTGGCCATCTCTTTCTGAAAGAAGAAAGGGGTATATGATATAGAAATGTATTGTGCAGAAATGATAGAATAAAAGAGTAGGTTATTAAATCTGCTCTGAAAAAAAGAGATATAGAAATAATAGGATAAAAGGGTAGATTATAGAGTCTACCTTTAGAAAGCAACTACTAGTTTTAAATATTTTACATTGGATTGGATTTTCATATATTGTATACAAATTTTGTATATAGATACAAAGTTGAGATTAATTTTTTTAGAACATTCTGTGCATATATTTCTAATCTTGTTCACGGTATTATACCTAAACAGCTCATTTAACAATGTATGCAAATTGCTAGTCCTTGAAAGTTATTATTACCAACCAATTAGGATATAAAGAAATGAAAGTTAGTAGTTAGTTATTATAATCGAACTTGTAGTCATATTAGGTATGTTTTCAAGGTCAAACAGATATATTTTAGATAGACAGGTCATCTTCAAACACTTCAGAGATCTATAGAATATGGCATTTAAAATGTTTTGATAACATAGATTTTTTTATGACTATGAGACATGTCTTCTCGCGGCAGTACCAATCTACTTCAGAGAAAATGATGGGCATTGAAGAAACTCCATATGGGGTTTGCTTTCTTTCTTTCTTTTTTAATTTTTTTTTATTTTTATTTTGTATGCATTGGTGTTTTGCCATGGGTGTTGGGTCCTCTGGAACTGGAGTCACAGACAGCTCTGAGCTGCCATGTGGTTGCTGGGAGTAGAACCCTGGTCCTCTGGAAGAGTGGTCAGTGCTCTTAACCACTGAGCCATCTCTCCAGCACCCAGAGTTTACTTTCTTTGTGGCAAAAGTTAGCCACTGGGCAAGAAAGTGCCCTTACCTCGACTGCTGACGGTATGCTGTGTAAATGAGACAAGCAGGATACAAAGAAAAGGAAGGAAGGCCCTTCAGAATATCTTGCTTCACAGAAATGTCTGTCAGATATGCTAAGCCTATAGGTGGAAGATGGATGCCCAGCATTGCAGAGGAAGCTTGGGTGACTGTCCAGGCAGGCAGCTGTTTCTGTCAATTCTCACATTTTTTGGAAGTCATTTATTTGCACTTCCTGCTTACTCAGTAAATATTATTTCCTTCTCGGGTCTCTGAGGGAGTTGAAGTCTAGATAGTTATAGTTATAGTTTTCCTTGTTAACAAATTCAGAAAAGAAACTCACTAAAGAGGTGGAAAGTGTATAAGTTTGAAAGACACCAAAAGATAGTTTTCAGTTGGTAATACAAGTTAGGATAGAAAGTGAATTAGGTACTTGACTTTGGATTCACCAAAATATTTTCTTTGAATCTATCAAATATTAATGGACTGGACAGTTAATAACTATATATATTGTATATACTTATTGTACTTATTGTATATAGTTTTTGTAACCTTCTTTTATCATTTTAGATAAAAAAAGGGGAAGAGTGGTGATATATTGTGTACCATAATAAAATTTGCCTGAAGATCAGAGAACAGAACAAACCACTAGTTTAAAAATAGAGGTCGGGCAGTGGTGTTACATGCTTTTAATCCTAGCACTTGGGAGGCAAAGATCTATCAGGATCTCTGTGAGTTCAAAGTGACCCTGGACTACATGATATTGACTCAATCTAGGAGAGACACAGAGCCAGGCAGTGGTGACACACATCTTTAATTCTAGTACTTGAGATCTCATGCCTTTGCTTGGGAAGCACACACTCCTTTAATCCCAGGAAGTGATGGCTGGGCTGAGAAAGGTATTTTAAGGTGTGAAGAGACAGGAACTAAAGCTTTTCTGCTAGAGAGCCCCTTCGGCTGAGCAAAGCTTTTCCAGCAGAAGCCCTTTTCGGCTGAAAGCCTTTTCAGACTAAGGAGTCCTAGAGGTAAGAGGTGGCAGTGGCTTGTTCTTTGTCTCTCTGATCTTTCAGCATTTACCCCAATATCAGGCAGGCTCCAGGGTTTTTATTAAAAGACCATTTTAGCAATTCGTGTTACGTTTTATATTTTGTTTGCTTTTGGACTGTTTTATGTCTGACACTCGAGGCTGACGTTATGGGACAAAAGCCAGTACTCCCACTCCCTTGACTCTCATTCTTAACCGTTTTCAGGAGTTTAAGACTAGAGCAGCAGTCTGTCCATGTCTGTCAGTCTGTCTGTAGTTTTGTTTAATTGCTTAATTGTTGCTCTACATTTCATATTTTTTAAAAAAGCAGCTCTTTTACAGAAACTGACAAGCTGGCTCTGCTATGGGAGCCCTGCACCTACAGCTCCTTTAAACCGAGTATCACCACTGCACAGAGCTGCAACCCGAAATAATTCAATGGCAGCGTATGGTTGCAAAGTGTAATACTTGGGTTTGTGGGCAGCTTTCCGGTACAGATGAGAATTGGCTCCAACAGTTAGCAAGGCACCCTTCCTTGAAATTTCAGCTGGAGGAAATAAGAAAAGTTTTGTCTTTTTGTTTTAATGTTTGAATGCATGAATGTGGCCACTGCATGTTTCTGTCTGACTGGTCTTGAATGTATGAGCTCACTATGGTCTGTGTGTCTTGGTTACAACTCAGCTGTTACTGTTGCAGCCAGTCACCTGGGCTCAGAATTTATTTCTGGGTGTTCTGGCTGTTAGAAGTACACCCTGTGTAAAATTTGTTTATACTGTTCTGTTTTATTAAAAAGCTGGCTCTGAAATTGGGTTATGGCCCAGCATTTTTCAGACCCAGACTCGCTTTTAAAGTCTCTATGTCCAAGGTCAAAAATTGGCAGGTGGAAAGAACAAGAGCAGGACAAACAACCAATTATTGGTTTATAAATGTATTGGACATAGATAATAATCTACAATACTTATAACAAACTTGTTTACTTAAAACTTTAACATGGGGTTAATAATAATCAGAAGGCTACATGGGTAGCCTTAAAACAAAGATCGAATCCATCAGTGTCTGTAGTTCTGGGCAAATATTCAGATGTGCTTACCTTGCTTTTTAGCTCCTTTAGTTCTGCTTCTGACTGTTTTTGTCGATGTGTTTTCAAGGTATCGCCTAAACCAAATAACTAAAAACAAACAGGAGTTGTTTGGTTCAAGTCCTCAAACTGTCAGAAATTTGCTGAAGATGGCATTTAAGATATTTAAACTTATATGACAGACAAAGACTCTCAGATCCTAGCAGTGACTCCCAGGGTCCCCAAAAAGACAATGGGCACAGCAACGGGCAACTCCACCTGGACTACAGTAATGTTAACCAGCTGACCACTGGGCAAGACTGCCCCAATGCCTTACCTTCTGCCAAGGCTCAGCCCAAACTGTGGACAAGCAGGGCACTGGAGAATTGATACCCCACTTTACCTGGACAAGATGAGGTCAATCTCCCTATGTTCCTCCTCCCCAGGAAAGCCTCTCATCCTCTAGGCCTGGCAGCCAAGACTGCTGTCCTGATAACCCTGCCCTCATCGCCATAGAATCCATAGGAGCCTGTGATATTTGTCTAGGTAAAGACTATAAACTAGCCTCTGCCATTTTGATGAATCTTTCTCAGATCTCTGACATTGACGGCTAAGCTAACTGTAGCGTTGTCAGCAAGACAACAGGCAATCAGCTCCTTCCCTCAAGGCTGCCGCTATTTGTTTGTTCATTAGTCAGTTCGTTAATTAGTTAAAGCTACCAGGTCTCTTATTTTAAAAAGGCAAATAGGTTTGCCTTGCTCACAAGCTTCATATTAAAGAATACACAGGTTTCAAATGTGAATCTGTTCCAGCTGTTTTACAGACACTTGTTGCCAAGAGTCAAAAAGGTCATAAGGCTTAAATCCACCTGCCACAGGTCAAATGGACTCCAGATAAGTAAAAGTTTCAAATGTAAGATTTTCTTTTAAGCTCCTAAATTTTAGCTTTTATCCTTAGTATCTATCTGTTTCAACAGATTTAACAGACACCATCCAGGGAGGACCTATGGACTGCAAACTGCTGAGCTCTGGACTTGCTGAAAGCTGATGTGAACCAATCCAGCCCATGTAATTGTTCCCTCCACCAGGAACAGCTAACCAGATGCTCCTGATGAATGCCCCATTGCCTAGCCTTTGACTAGCCTTTCAGCTTTCCTGGGCTCTGACAATCGACACCCCAATTTCAGCTGGAGCAGCTACAGAAGAGAGTATATCATTCCTGTCCCCTTAACAAGATTAAAGTGCTAAGTCAAAGGCATATTCCCTTTGGGGGGAAACCTGTTGCTTACATGTCAATCATTCTGAAAAAGTCCAGCAAAAGTAAAACTTTGACCATGCAGAATAGAATGTATTACACAGCCCCATCTGGATGATGGGCCTGCAACACTGAGTTAACCTCATGCATTTATGGTATAGTCCTACATGCAGGAAAGGGGTACTGTATGATGGTCCAGCTCTTCCCCAACTACTCTTAAGGTGGACAAAATCATCATCCCCTAAAACCCCCAGACAAACAGGACACGTGATTATGTCCTCTCTAGTTACTTGTAGAGGGGGGAATGAAGAGGCCTAACTTAACATTAGTGCAGCCATGACAGGCTGCCGACTAACAATACTGGGACTAGGCCTCAACATTGCAAAAACCAGGAAAAACCACAAACTGTACCCTTTGGGAAACCAATTGGAATTGAGACAAACAAGTACTAGATGCTCTAAAATATAAAGGATAGCTTATATAATCTGTATATAGGTTGCTAATTTCCTTACAGCCACGCTACAGTACCAATCCCTGTTTGACAAGACTTCTGTTACCTCACTCCTGCCCAATCAGGAGTTCAGCCCCCATCTGAATCTGAAATCCTCTACCCCCTATCTTTTAAACCCTGCCATAACTGAGCTCAATGCTCTCCCGGATCCAACCACTGTGTTGGAACAGAGAGCCCAAGCTCAGCTTGCAATAAAGGCTCTTTGCTTTGCATACAGACTCAGACTCCTGGTGGTCTGGGGGGGGGGGCGGGGCTCCTGACTCAGGCATAACATTTACCTTTTACAGTAAGGGAGGAACAGTGAATGATGAGAATTTAATGAAGACTCCAGGGGCCAGGATAGGGTTGCAAGAGAAAAACTACTCAGTGGACATGGAGATCATGTAGAGGAATTCAGACGTAATTAAAAGGTCTGCTAACAGGGAAATATTGGAGAAGAGGACTTAAATAATCCTGGTTTATCCTGATTTTATGGAAATTTTAATTATCTCATTAAAGATTGTCCTTCACAGCTGGGTGGTGGTGGCACATGCCTTTGATTTCTGTGAATTTGAGGTCTGGTCTCAGAGCTAATTCTAGGATAGCCAAGGCTACACAAAGAAACCCTGTTAAAAAGAAAATTTGTCTTTCTTAGGGCTACTCTTCCAAAGGACTCAAATTTGAGTCCCAGCACTCACCTGGCAGTTCACAATCATCTGTTAACTCCAGCATGGGGATCCAATGCCCTCCTTTGACCTTTGAAGGTAGTGTTAATCCCACAGATGGAGAAGAAGACCACTACTACAGTTTAAAGCCAAATTTGAAGCAAGCTTTAATTAAATACTGGCCAGGTGAATGAATGGGCTCTGGCAAGGTCCATACCCAGGTTCCCAGGAAATGTCCCAGAATCAAATATGGCAAGGACTTAAGAAGGAAAAACTGGGCTGGAGAGATGGCTCAAAGGTTAAGAGCACTGGCTGTTCTTCCAGAGGTCCCGAGTTCAATTCCCAGCAACCACATGGTGGCTCATAACTATCTGCAATGAGATCTGGTGCCCTCTTTTGGCCTGCAGGCCGAACACTCACTGTATACATAATAAATAAATCTTTAGAAAAAAAGGGTGACATCACGCAGTGGGAATTCTATCAATTCATAAGCTATATTGCTTAATAAAGGCATTTTTCTGAGTTACTTTAAAAAAAAGAAGGAAAAACCATAATTCCTGCCTACATACTCCCTATCCACATGGGATCAAGTACATCCGGTGCAGATGGATCAAACAACTTGTTTAGGGGAGTGAAAACCTGTGGCTTGTTATCTCCCATAAACAATAGCCTCTAGCATTTCAGGAACTATGGGCTTGCAGATTAGAGGCATTTTTGTTTCCTGGATCTCTAAGGCATAGTAATTAAAACTTAAAATGTAACTTTGGCTCTCACAGTACATTCTCACAGGAATGGACATGGTTCACAGACATACATGCAGGCAAAACACTCATACACATAAAAAAATTAATTGTCCATTTTAGGCTAAGGGAATAGCTTAGTTGATAAAGTGCTTGAGTCCAGCTCCCCTGAGCCTCCGTAAAAAGCCAGGCACCCCAGTACAGGCCTGTAATGCCAGCAGCGGTGAGGTGGGGGAAAGGATGGAGAGAGGTGGAGCCTTAGAAACCGTCAGGCCTGAGAGCCTTACCTGCTTGACAAAGTTCCGGGCCAATAAGGGACCCTGTCTGAAACAAAAAGTGCAAAGGACTTGAGGACTCAAACCCCCAACACACACACACACACACACACACACACACACACACACACACACACACACACA